ATGTTCATATTCTGGAATCCTAGCCTAAACTTTGTTTAAAGGGATAAGAATGTAAGGATTTCTCTGAGGCACGCTGCCATGAAGGGACTGCTTGAACACTAAGGTGCACTTATGTCTTTAAGACTTATCCTACTGCTGGGCGCCTGGGTGGCTCAGTTGGTTGAGCAACTGCCTTCGGCTCAGGTCATGATCCTGGAGTCCCGGGATCGAGTCCCGCATCAGGCTCCCTGCTCAGCGGGGAGTCTGCTTCTCCCTCTGACCCTCTTCCCTCTCGTGCTCTCTATCTCTCATTCTCTCTCTCAAATAAATAAATAAAATCTTTAAAAAAAAAAAAAAAGACTTATCCTACTGCTGACATCACATTCACGTTCTGGAATAGCTTCTCTGAACTTCTTAAAACACACAGACAAGGTTAAGCAATGAGGTAGACAGGATCCTTACGAGTGATGCTCTGAATGAGGGTCGGGTCTAACGACATGGATATAATGGTTTCTCTACCACCACTCTCTCTTCATAACAAGGCAGACTTAGAGGACAAATCATCAGGTCCAAAAGCCCTTACTGCAGGAAATATTTGAGGCCAATAATCAACAGGTACCTAAGAAAATGCTTTTAAGACACAATGAAGCATAACTTCAAAGGCTGTGATCCAGATCCCAAGGTTGGCAAACAGGAAAGGACTGGCTCTTTTTAAATGACTAAACTACCTGCACCAGAGGCTGGGAAGAAGCATTAATCATTACATGCAGAATGCTGTAATTAGCAGCTTTTAAAAAGCCAAGCTTTTTGTGTTCAAGATGTAGAAAAACTGACATTGGACCATATACAAGACACATCCATAAACTTAGGCACCCAATCAAGTAGGTAGTTCCCAGTTGCTACTATATATCTAGCACAGTAACATCATCTTTTAGTATAATAGTACAGTTTATATGTTTAACTTAATTTTTAATTTAGTTCTGTCCATTTGACTTGAACATCTAAATGAAAAAATTATGTGAAAAAATAAAAATATCAAAGAATCTACCCATCCAACATGTAACTCAATAGCTTTCCTTTTATTTCTGATACTTTTTAAACACCTCCAGTCATGTACACATCATAATTCTGTCTATCTGCAGCCAGGTGGTCTGGGTTCAACTTCCCAATCTGCCATGTAAAAGTCGTGAAACTGAAAAGTTACTTAACCTTTTTGTGCTTCAGTCTCTTCTGTAAAATGGGGGATAATAACAGGCCCTACTTTATAAAGTCATTGTGAGGATCAAATAAAATACATATAAAGCAACTGGAATAACATCTGTCACAAAGGTTCAACGAATGTTAGAATTTTTAAAAGCCAAGTTTGATAAACATGGTCTGTCTATGAGACTGAATACGGTATTATACAATACATTATACAATCCATAACAGGTCTAGCATCTGACATAACAATTTTATAGTGCTTCAGAGTGTATGCAGCATATCATCTATTACTAATGACTTCAGGCACTGTGCAGGAAGCAAGCTGCCTCTCTCCTTGCCCCCCCCCCAAAAAGTGTTCCAAAGATATTTTCATTGCTCAAGTCCTACCTAGCTCATGAACACAAAGTAAACCACTAACTATCCAGAACTCTCCTGGTCCTGGTTGACTCTCTCTCTCTCTGCCGGTAGAATCAGAAGGAACAAAGAGTTGCCTCCATGCCACTTTGAAAAGCTTATAATATCCACTGAGAATTATGGCTCACAAACTACAAAGGACCTCAGGAATGCCCCAGTCAGGTTTTCTCCTGCATGCCATACGGCACTGAGGAAATTCTGGGCACTTGATAATGTCCCTGGAGAATAAAAAGCCAGTATTCACCAAATTACCCCTCTTTGCTGCCAAAGAACAATGGGGCTTCAGTAATTTTCTCCTGTTACAGCAGAAATAGATAGGGCATGACTTCAACATTAGCAAAATGTGAAGATCACTCCAGCGTGCACTTGTTTACATCAGCATGAGGGCTGGCTAACACAGCTCTGTGCTTTGGCCCGAGACTGCCCCTAGCCCCATTCAGCTGTTGGGAATATGAGAGCCACAGATGAGAAAATGTGACTCTGTACTACTCCCTCTCACTTGGGAGAACAAAACAACGAAAATTAAAAGCCTCAAATGTTTATAATGCTTCATCATAATTCAAAAGAATTGCCAGTAAATTCACCAGGTAAACTCCTTAAATTTATAAGATGGGGACCTCATCTTAATTTATCAAGCACTTAGTATACGCCTTAATCTAGAATATACTCAGAAAATATGTTCAACAGTGACTGAATGAATAATCATGTATTCTATGTAATTTCTATGTTCAACACAGGGGTGTCTTGATAATTATGTATCAATATACTATCTTAGTTCTTATGGATAATGAAAAACACATTACTAGTTTTTCCATTCTAAGCAATCTGTTAAAGGAAACATTACTTATAAACAGATTCTAAGCTATCAGGATGGTAAATTAAAAATGTACTTGCATGTTTTGGACACATTTTTTAAAACCATTTGTCAGATTCTCGTTCTGGCAAGATTCTTACGACTAGCCACATTACTTCTTGAGCTTAAAATGAATCTTTATATTCTAGCTTCTTCCAATTAAGTAATAAATGTGTATGGCTCTTCAGCATTTATTAGTTATGTACAACTTTAAGAAAACTATGAAATATGTTTTCATGTTCCATCTATTTGAACAAAAATTAGCTTACTTTCCTACTTCTTGGAATACCCCCATTAGTAGATAAAATGACTGTTTCTACATTACCTGCGTGATTATTTTTTCCAGCAAAGGACCCAAGTCACACAGAATATACTATCTCTAGCCAATCTAAACATAGTGTCCCCTAAAAAACCTAATAAAGCCAAATGGCTAACAGACACATGAGAGAAAATGTTCAACATCACTCAGCATCAGAGTAATACGAATCGAAATCACAATGAGATACCACCTCACACCAGTCAGAATGGCTAAAATTAACAACTCAGAAAAAGACAGATGTTGGCGAAGATGCAGAGAAAGGGGAACACTTTTGCATTGTTGGTGGGAATGCAAACTGGTGCAGCCACTTTGGAAAACAGTACAGAGGTTGCTCAAAAATTTAAAAATAGAACTACCCTACAACCCAGCAACTGCAGTACTAGGTATTTATCCAAAGGATACAAACATAGTGATTCGAAGGGGGCACATCCACCCCATGCTTATAGCAGCAATGTCCACAATAGCCAAAGTATGGAAAGAGCCCAGGTGTCCATCAACAGATGAATGGGTAAAGATGTGGTATATACATGTACAATGGAATATTACTCAGCCATCAAAAAGAATGAAATCTTTTTGGAACTAGAGGGTATCAGCTAAGTGAAATAAGTCAGTCAGAGAAAGACAATACCATATGATTTCACTCATACGTGGAATTTAAGAAACAAAACAGATGAACATAGGAGAAGGGAAGGAAAAATAAAATAAGATAAAAACAGAGAGGGAGACAAGCCATAAGAGACTCTTAACTATAGGAAACAAACTGAGGGTTGCTGGAGGGGAGGCTGGTGGGAGGATGGGGTAACTGGGTAATGGGCATTAAGGAAGACACTTGATGTAATGAGCACTGGGTGTTACATGCAACTGATGAATCACTAAATTCTACCCATGAAACTAATAATATACTATATGTTAACTAAATTTAATTTAAATAAAAAAATAAAAATTGAAAAATGTTTTTAAATTTTAAAAAAATTAAAAACTTAATAAAGCAATGCTGTCATGTTAACTACCGAGATCAAATTATTTCTGAAAAGATTTGGAGCACGAGGAATTCCAGTATCTTTGTCATACATTTTCTGCTTTAGAAACTCTGGATCCGTTTCTGAAAAGAGAAATACGTACAAAGTCCTGGGAGCTAGGTGGGTGGGTGGGTGGGTGGGTGTGTCTCTGTGTGTGTGTGTGTGTGTGTGTGTGTAATACAAGGACCAAATCACAGCTTAAGTAAGTCTCCAAACCTGTCTTAGGCCAAAAAAGACAGATTCAATACCCACACTGGGGGCTAAAGAAGAGGGGCCAATTTTTGAAATAAAATTAATATATTGTATTTCCCTTAGAAAAACAGTTTTTAAGGCAATCATGACTAGTAGAGAGGTGAATTAGGTAACGACTGTGAACAAAAGCTGAAAAACTTGCTGTAACATGAGGCGAACAACCACACGGCCCTCCCTTGCACACAGTGCCCTGCACCGATGAGGCCGCCTTCACACAGCCACGCTCACTCGCTGCCGCTATGTGAAACACGCCCCGCCGTCTCTCTGAGGTTAAGTAAATGCCAAGTACTTTCTGAAGTTTATCTGACCTTGACGGTCAGTAACTGCCTACCTTTTGAGTTCAAACATTTTGTTAGACCTCCAAAATATATATGCTTAAATGTTACCACTAGCATATCATAAAGACCACCACCATTCCTCCACAAACCCCAAAACTACAAACCAGGGACAGAATTTTTTCACTTTGGCTTCCCATCAGTGTGCAGAGCAGATACGAGTTAAGTAATACAAAATAAAAAGTTTTCATCCCAGAGTTCCTCAAAAGAAAATAAAAGGCCATATATTTTACAAGGTCAAGAATCACCTGCCTGGGAAACAGATCTTGTGTTTTAGTTCTAGGGTTCTAATGGCTGACTCTGTAACATTCTAGAAATCTGGAGAAGACCAGCATTTCCTAAAACAGTGTTTGCGGGACACTGTTTTGCAGGATGCTAACAGGTATGCACATCGATTGGGAAAATCTGGATTAGTGGTTACTTGACTGCAGTACATGTGCAAAGCTCTAATATGGTAATCACAGTATAAATCTCCAATATAAAATCCCATTATGTAGCCTTTAGTAAACTAAGTTGAGCAAGATCATGAGGCAAGTTTGGAAATCCTCAAAGAAGGCTGTTTTGTCTTTTTTCTAATCGCCACGATATTACTGAATACTTTGTATCAGCCTCTAAGATACTCTTACCTGATATGAGTTGCAGGCAGAGATTCATACTGGCGTGACAAAAAGAGCTCCCTATGTTTCAGCTGATGCTTCTGTTTATCAGTCAAGTCTGCCTCAATTGTTGTTTCCGATTCTTCCTCAATTTCTTCTACACAAATAAAATTCAAAAAATGCATTATTACAGGGCACATTATCTATCTGGACATTAAGACAGATCAACCTTTCATTCAAAATTTTCTTCAAACCAACTTTTATTATTTTATTTCAAATTTACATTTATTTAACTTGTCATTTGTGTTACAACCATAAAATGACATGAATTGGGGCCACAAAAACAAAGAGGAAGAACTCCAATTTTAAAATGGCAGATGGAACATATGCATTTATCTCCTCTTCCCCCATAAAACTACACCAAATAGCAATTAAAATGCACACACATTTCAATGACAATGAAAGTGGAAACAACGATAGAAGAAAAACTCTCAGCCAAAAAAAAGGTTTTAGAAGATGGAAAGCAGATGCAAAAAAAAAAAAAAAGAAAAGAAAAAAAGAAGACAAACTTAGCCAAGAGAAGGAAGTGACAATCTATATATGTACAGACAGATGCAAGGAGAAGGCAAGCACAAAGCTTGAAGTGACTTAGCCCTCAAAGATACCAAGTACTGTGAGAAAGAGGAGTGGGCGAGAGAGAAAGACAGCAGGAAAGGTTGAAAGTCTATCTACAACACTGTAACTAAATCCCAGAATACTCTATCTAAAATAGAGAAAAATCAGAAAAAAAATTAAAAATTAAAAAGAGAATAATTGGAAAACAAGAAATAGGAAAACACTTTTTAAATTTCATAACACAAACAAAAAGCTGATAGAAGGATTAGAAGTTACTGCTAAGGAAATCTCTCAGAAATTTCAGTACTAAGACAAAGAGATAAATAAGTGAAAACCAAAAGCTAAAATAAATAAAATAAATAATTCATGAAGTCCAACATCCCAAGAATAAAAGTTCCAGAAAGAAACAACAGAGAAAACACATTTCTTCATCTCTTTTGGTGGGGAGTGGGGGTGAGGAAAGACCTATCAAAGAATGATTCAAGAACATTTCCCCTTATTGAGGGAGAGGGACGTCCAGACTGAATTTCTGGCATACTTAATTTTTTTCTAAAGCGCTAACATGAGATCACAAAAGTTTACAGAAAGAAAAATTAGGTCACATGCAAAGAAACTGGAGTCAGAGTGGAATTCTATATGAATAGCAACTATTCTATCCTAAGATGGTGGAGCAATGTTATCCAAGAGGAAAAATGATAGTCAACCTAGAATTGTACTTGTAAACTATTTATCAAGTCTGGAAACACAGTAAGAATAATCTTTCATTCATTCAACCAAGATTTATTAGGTGCCCAAACAGGCACTATTCGAGGTGTTGGAGACAAGCAGTGAGCAAAAGTTATTAGGAAGAAACAATTCAAAGTATTTGCCTTTGAGAAACAGGATTGGAAGCAAGGGAGAGGAGATAGCAACGTTGCATGAAAGTGAAAAAAAAAAAAAACCACTGCATTTAATAATCTTTTTAAAGAAAAAAAAAAGTGTCATTTACAAATACAATTCCAAATAATTTTATATACAAAAATTTCTTAATATAATACCTCTCAGGGTTCACAGATCCTCTGCAGCCTTACCTGGGCCAGACTGTGTGGGAGCAGCAGGGGCACTGAGGACTCAGATGGTGAGACTACTGGAAGGGGTGATGCTCCTCATGTAGGAAGAGCTTAAGTTTAGGACTCGGAGGCCTTAATTTTGGGATACTGATAGGCAACACACACACAGATATACATGTGTGTGTATTTCTGCTCCTCGCTATTCTTATAAGTTCTGTTATGGGCCCAGAACCACAAATGAGATTTTATCATATACATAATTTTCTAATTATAGCAGTGTTTTTGAACTGCATGAGGGCAACGAATGGGGCTAAGCCATCAGATCTTTTCTACAATACTTTCAAATTTTTAAAACTCTTGATTGAAAATGAACCTGAAAAACTGATTTAGACTGACGTAGGTAAAAAAAAACAAACAAAAAAAACTAAAGCAACTTAAAGTCCTTTGAATGCTCTCTTAATGAACTACCCAAAGAGAAATCCAACACTAAAACAGTTATTCCCATAGACATTTCACCAGTGGAAATCAATGAAGTTATTGGTGCATTAGCTCTATCAGCACCAGCAAATATCACATACAAAATCACACTCTTTACTTAATGAGGATTTGATAAATTGTTGTCCTGTAAAACACAACTAACTGAATTCTAATGCGTACCCTACAGAGCTAAAACTGCAACAAGCTCTACAAATAATAGCAGCAAAACTTACTCTCTTATACACCCTCTTGGTACAGGGTGAAAAGGACTAGAATCTCTGACGTGCAACGGAGCCAAACACAGAGATCACCAAACAGCACCTAAAACTCACCTTCCAAAATTTACTAGTGTTAAATTTCATTTACATATTTTCATAAATTTACACTTGCTTCTGAATAGGAATGATTCCCATGCCATTAACATCCTAAAAACATTAAATGACCACAGTGGCAAAGCTGGCATTTAGACAAAGAAAAATTTAAAAGACTTCAGATGATTATCATCATCAGAAATTGGGTACATGGTAATATATTTATAACTTTTAAAAACCATTTTACCAAGCTTGATGGAACATCAAATTTGCTACCTTCCAAAAGTTATTAAAGTAAGAGTCCCATACCCTATACAGTGATAGGAAAGATGGATACTAAATTATTTATTGTACTTTCTTTGTCGCTAGCAAAGTTTCACCACAGTTTATTAGCAAGAAGGCACTGGGGGTATGGAGGGGGAAAAAGACTGCAGAAGGAAACTGTACAACAGGATTGTATAAAGTTTTAAGGGGCAATATAAATGTCACTATACTTAATACTGATATCTTCTGGGGCGCCTGGGTGGCTCAGTTAGTTAAGCATCTGCCTTTGGCTCAGGTCATGATCCCAGGGTGCTGAGATCAAGCCCCACATCAGGCTCCCTGCTCAGTGGGGAGCCTCCTTCTTCCTCTGACCTTCCCCCTTCTCATGCTCTCTCTCTCTCTCTCTCTCTCACAAATAAAAATCTTTAATTTAAAATATACTGGTATCTTCTCTTTTAGTAGTATGTGCCATACAATGCATGACCCACCAAGGCTCCTGCAAATTTCAAGGTTTTCGACTGCAGGATGAGAAAGAAGCCATGGCTTAAAATCTCAGCAAGGTTAATTGCACATGCAGGCTGATAGGGAATGAGGTAAGGCCAGCACAAACAGTATCCAAGAAGCGGGCAGCAGAGAACAAATCAAACTAGCCAAACTGTCTAGAGCACCAGAGCATCCAGCCATGGGATATGGGAGATCAGTGTTCAGCGGCAGGTTACAATCAGGGACTCAGGCAAAGCTTTAGAGAATGAACATGTGACATGTACAAGACCAGAGCCAGGGGCTGATGAATTTAGCTACCTGAACAATAAGGGACAGAATGAAGAGAAGGAGCAACCATTCCTGATTCTAGTTCCTTGACTTGAAACTGGGTGTTTCTCAGAATAGTTCAGCATTCTCATTCTTCCACATTAGTTGGGAGGGATGGAGGGGAAAGCAGAGAGGAGGAGAGTCCTCCACAGGTTATTCCCAAGCTTCCTTTGGTCTGTATATTAATGGAGCATTAGCCTGGGATGATGTTAGCTGGTACAGACCAGACAGAAAAGCAGGCAGTTAAACATTTGTCTGTAGATGCATTTAACAAGTACCCAAATGTTAGAAGGCATATTATTGGATTGAAAATAGCTCAGTATTGATGGAACTCAAGTTTGTCGAGTAAGAAAAAAAAAATCCTCAAAAAAGGAATAAGGAAGTTGAATAAAATTAGAAGGATTTTTTTTTTAAAGATTTTATTTATTTATTTGAGTGAGAGAGAATGAGAGAGAGAGCACATGAGAGGGGGGAGGGTCAGAGAGAGAAGCAGACTCCCTGCCGAGCAGG